GAAACATCCTGATTTATGGCACATCAGTATTCCAGCTCCACCTCATCCCCGAATAGTAGTGAGGGTACATAACATGAGTTCTCTGTGAAGGTTGTATGTACATGTAAAACACACTGCAAATGTCTGTCACAATTGGCTCTTGTGCAATCTGCATGTTCTTCTTATGTTTAACTTGGAGATGTCGGGCTGACTGCATTTAATTTTACATTTTCAGTCTCGTGCAGTTTCCTTTCAATTGCAATGAGCAGAGCAATCTGATCAGCCCAGCTTGAAGAAAACATGCCGTCTTTCCTATTTACAAATGCACACAGTCTCACAATTTCCTTGTGCTAATTCTCAAAAGCAAAATAATTGAAATTTCTCCTAAAACAGATTCAACTGCATATAGTAAATCAGCAACATGATGCCATGTTTTAAATATACAATTTCAGCAAAAGGCATGCAACAAAGAAATGGCACACTGAACATATAATTAGCCATAGATGTTACTTAGATTTCATTATTTTGCAAAAGATTTCCCAGTAAGTCAGTAAATCAGACCTGTTCCCAGTGCATGTTGGACTCTGCCAGGGTTCTGTTCATTGTATTTATGGACAGAATTTCTAGGTGCAGCCAGGGGCCAGAGGGGGTCCGGTTTGAGGACCACAGGATCTCATCTCTTCTGTTCGCGGATGATGTTGTCCTGATGGCTTCAATGGCTTCATCAAACCAGGACCTGAAATGTGTCCTGGGGGGGTTTGCAGCCAAGTGTGAAGTGGCTGGGATGAAGATCAGCTCTTCCAAGTCTGAGGTCATGGTTCTTGAAAGGAAAAAGGTGGCTTGCCCTCTCCTGGTGGGTGGAGAGTCCCGGCCTAAAGTGGAAGTGTTTGAGTATCTTAGGGTCTTGTTTACGAGTGAGGGGAGGACGGAGCGTGAGATTGACAGAGGGATCGGTGCAGCGTCTGCAGTGATGTGGTCACTGTATCGTTGTAGATTCACCGTTACCGGTGAATCTACATTCCTGCCGTCACCTATGGTCATGAGCTTTGGGTAATGACTGAAAAGACAAGATCGCATATACAAGTGGTCAAAATGAGTTTCATCTGCAGGGTGGCTAAGCACTCCCTTAGAGATATGGTGGGGAGCTTGGTCACACGGGAGGAGCTCGGGGTAGAGCCAGACCTGGGACACGCTGGAGGGGCTATGTCTCTCGACTGGCCTGGGAACGCCTCGGGGTCTCCCTGGAGGAGTTGGAGGAAGTGTCTGGGCTGAAGGAAGTCTGGGAGTCCCTGCAACCTGGCCCCAGATAAGAGGAAGAAAATGGATGGATGGATGGAAAAATCTCCCCACTTTTGCATAGAAAAGTACACACAGTAACTACTGAGCCCCAAAATATATTGTCCTATCATAAAGAACGATCTAGTACTGTTCAATCTGCGACTAACTTCCATTACACTATCACAACTAGCTCTGCCAAATATTTGGTAAAAAAGGAAAATTACACATAGCTATTTTCAGTGTCAGTCTTTAGTTGGATACTGTTGATGCGAGTTTATGTGAGATAACTTTAACCCTTAACAAATTCAGATTAGGTTCAGTATGTCTCACTTGTCCTCAATATAAATGTAAAAATATGACACACCCCTGACCATATTTACCCTGCTGAATGTGTGGATGATGTTTTTTCTGCGCCTCAGATGGCCTGACACCACAGCCCATATATTGTCGCTGCTTGAATTCACTGCTTACATAATCATGCTCCAGTAGGTGCTTTAATGGCCACTCTGTAGCACATGTAATTTATTCAGTACAAATGTCACCTCAGAAATGGTGGTTTAGCCTGACCTCTTGGAGCACAGTCCGCGTCATGGCATTATCATAAATAACACATCCAAATAGCAGGTCTGGTGACAAATAGTGTTCATTGGCCACCTAGTTCCAGGTTGGCCTTGGAGGCATAGGGTCTTTTCTTTAATTATCACGTGGGCAATGATGTCATATGCAGCACTATGTACTGTAATTGTCAGCATGTTTGGACTTATCATTTAAAGACTTGCTATTTAAAACTTATAAAACCTAGAACTTATCCATCTTATCCATGTTTGTGAAGTATTGTTTAACTTTCTATAGCCTATAGCACGTCTTTATATAGACCATCTTGTACGATATTAGCAAAAATAATAATATGAATAGTCCATGTGTTTTGGCATCGCTCATGCCAGGATACCAGCTACCAGCTGTCAAAGTCTGATCTGATCAGATCTCAGAAGCTAAGCAAGGCCAGGCCGGGTTGGACATGGATGGGAGACCGTTGTTGGGAATACCAGGTGCCACAGTGAGGCGTCTGTGGCAAAAACTATTGTTTGAACTGTTGATGCCGCAGATTGGCAGCGATGCTTCCACCATTGTACCCCAGGGCAGCTGTGACTACAACAGAAGCTTACCACTATGAATAATGTACTTTGAACTTTGTGTATCGTGAAAGGTACTATATAAATCCTACGCTATAATATCAATATGATGAGCATACTTCAACCATCTCAGTATTTTGGGTGTTTACCCTCTCTGTTACAGCAACAAACTCTCCCAAGTAATTCCAAGTGATCATTTGCAAATGAGAGAAAATGAATGTCAAGGATGTTGGTGTCCGATTTGCTGGTCCTCTTCAGGCTGTCAACCCTCAAGATCCAGAGCTGAGATTTTAGAACGCAGAACAGCTTTAGGGATTGTCAGTGACACCGCACAACACAGTGTGCTTCAAGGAATGTATGTGAGCATGAAAATATGATCATAGTTCAGCACGTTTTCCAACTAAAATGATTCTCTCCTGATGTATCTCTTGTGATTGCTTTTTCGACTGCAATTAGCTGACTCCCTGCCAAGTGAAAGGCTTACAAGTTGTGACTTACAATAAAATCCAAGGTTTTTGTTTTGGTTCACCAGTTAATTAGTAGCCTGAGTTCTGAAGATTGGAGCTAGCTTCTTCAGTGACTGGATTACACCAGTACAATCACAATCAACATAACAAACAGTAATAACTTTTCCCCCATAATTTTCTCAATGTGGGAATTATTGATAATATGCTATTTTCAAGTACAATATATTGAACAGAACCAACAGAACACCTTTTTTGTCTTGTCCTTGCACTGAATAAGATTACAGGTTGTATCTGATTTGTTTAATTGTATGTTTTTACTAATAGCCACTTCAATATATTACTAACAATTGTGTTACAATTTAAAAGAGAGAACATTTTTCCTTTGTTATTACTGAAGCTGTCTTATAAACCTCATTCAAGCATGACTTTATTGGATGTGTAACTATGGTAACAATCTGCTGTATACTGTTCAACAATTCAGTAAATTCAAAATGTTGCTCAGACTGTTTTAGCTCACTGTAAACATGATTTATGATTTATCACATATAAATGAATGACATACATCTGTGTAGCTCATTGCGCTGTTGGCACCTCTCTCTATTTAACACCATGTTGTTACCCTGGTTGAACTCTGCTGTTTTACATCTGATAATTGCTCTTCAACACTTCTTTAATTGGAGACAATTCCAGTTCATTTGCCTGGAGTGGTGTACTTAGCCTGACAGGTCACACTGTGGGCAGTATAACCATTGATTTGTGCTCCCCGGGGCTGGCTAACCCTTTTCACACATGAGAGAAAAATGCTGCAGTGTGGTGGATGATGGTGTCTAAATGCCTGTTTTGTTACTGGGTTGTGGGACCTGCTGTCTGCCTGCTCTCCTGATACAAATAGCCTATTATTTCTCATATGGTACTTTGAGTGGAAAAGTCCATTCCGTTATTGCGTAAATGTATCTGGCTGTGAGTGCTCAATTTTCTTCAATTTGTGAGGTTATAAATCTCTACAAAAAGCTTATGTTCATTTACCGTCCTACTCTATTGACACAATTCTTAATTTAGGAGCTTTTTGGTAACGATTTTCCCATATTACACAGTGCTCTCTTTCTATTTCTGACTTTTAAGCTTTCTGTCTTGCTTTCTTAAAAACCTTTCCATCTGATGTGCTTCATAAAATCCTCCATTTGAAGTTTGAAACCTCATTATTTGACTTCATACAACTTAGAGTCTTTCTAACTTCCCTTTACACACTGATATGTGTACATGGACATAAAGTATGAAATGTAAAATACTTCATTTTGTGCTGCTTAATAGTCATGTTTATCCTCACCTCTAATGTTCCAGTATTCATAACAATAAGTGTATAGAAGTTAAACCAATTCTTTTAAGTTGCTGGTAATTTGTGCAGTTGTTGGAAACACATCAGTAGGCAGAAAAGGTTAGGCCCATGAAGCCAAAATTCAGTGAAAGTTCTTGTGATTTAAGTTTATTTTCCAGCTTTCAAATCCACTTTAGAGAAACTTGTGGTTTACAGTTTTGAGAACTCACCACTCCAAGGCATATATCAGAATATTGTTTTTGCAGTGAAACATATACTAGATTTTATGGACAAATCACCCTGAAAAATGACAAGCATTAATGTTATTTACTGCCCAGTCTTTACATTATGATCTTCAAAGTCACAACAGAATAGTTTTATTTAATGCTTTACATTATAAACCAAACAACCATACTACCATAGCATAAGGTATAATTATGTACTAATAGAAACAAACAATGATCGCTGCTAAGGCCATTTAGTTCATACTGTACATTCACTGACCAAGCCACTTTCAAACTTAATTTCAATTCACATAACTCCACTGTAGAAATAAAATGAGGAAAGACAAACTGCAGATTTCATGGCAGACCTGTTCCCCTGCTCAATAAAAGCTAGACCCTAACTGTGTATTTGATTACAGCAGGACCAATGTCTCCTCTGACGCTTCCTTTGCTTACTCTCCTGACAGTGTTACCCATCCATTTCTCATAAACAACAGCAGGTCATCATCCATGTAATAACTTGTCTCAGCGTGAGTCCAAATAGGAGCGACTCGCTTTGACAAACTACTAACTGTCCACTCATTTTTATCTGTGTGTCTCTCAGGTCAGAAACAGCCATGCCATTTGGCTGTCTCCCAGTGGGGGAAAAGAAGGACTACCACAGTCCCACAGATATTACAGACAAATATGACATGGGCCAGATTGTCAAATCGTAAGTATGTTTTTATTATTATAGAAAGATGACTCAAATAAATAGAGATAGTAACCCTTGGCCCTCTGTCCCTATTTATTTAAGTTAGACCACTCAGAATTTACTTATACTGAGTTTTGAAAAGCAATGATTAATGGTGCCCAGAAACAAAGATTCACCATGGCAACGGTAAACCAGAGAAGACTTCCATCATCTATAATTGCTTTCCATTGTCAACATTTGATATGCAGCAGTATGTCTTCACAGTGTTTCAAGGCTGAAATCCAGATCAATTTAAGGCTAAAAAGAATCTCTCTGATCCGAATGGTCACTACCTAAACCCCAGTTCCTAGTACCTCATGAATCAGTGCTAGTGCAGCCTCTGGAGCTCCGTAAGTGAATTCTTGGAGGTTCTGAGCTTTCACATGAGACACTTGTGTGAGTTCTTCCACCATGATTGACTTTACTGATCTTGAATTACATGTCTTACTGTCTGATTAATGGTGCCCAGAAACAAAGAAGTTAATGTGTGTTATGTTTTTTTCCAGGGAGGAGTTCTGTGAGATATTCAGAGCTAAGGACAAAACCACCAATAAAATGTATACGTGTAAGAAGTTCCTTAAGAAAGATGGACGTAAAGTACGCAAAGCAGCAAAAAACGAGATTCAGATCCTAAAGATGTAAGTTGTATACAAAACATGCAATTCAAGGTTACACAACAAAAGAATAAAAAAATTTAAAAAATAAATAAAAAATCACACAATCAGTGTTTGCTGGGGGACTTGTGAGACGGATTTCACACTTTCCATTGTTATGTAACTCTTCAGCAGAGCTGCATTATCATGAGTTTGGTTGGAAACCAAAAGGAGGATGTGCAAATGAGCATGTGAGATTAACAGTCACACCTAAAAGATTTGAGCAACACTTTGTATTATTTCCGCAAAAAAAAAAAAAAAAAAAAAAAACAATTGAAAAAACTGCTTTGCAATTACCACAGCGATAGACAGGCATGGTGGCAGAGTGGCTAGCACTCAGACATCACAGCAAGAAGGTTATGGGTTCAGTCCCTGTGTGAAGTTTGCATGTTTCTCCCCATGTCTGGATGTGCACAGTAAGTAAACATCCTTCAGCTAAGGCACGCCTGACCAAACACAAGATTAGGTGCTGTCTGCTCCAGCAGCATTAGGTCATATGCAGAGGACAAATTTCCAATCTGGGACAATAAATACATAATAAATACATAACCTTAGGCATAAGAATTGTATTTGACAATGATATAGTTTTAGTCTGTAGCCATAGAGAAACTTATTTTTTTGTAGATTTTTTTTCTTTTAAGCTACAGGTTTAGGGCTGGCACAAACTGTGTCAAAGAAGATTAGTGCTTATTTTAGGAGGTTGTCTGTCCTTGTCAAAGTCCCTTGTTCCCTTTGAACAAGGGAATGCTATTTGATAATTAGCACTGTGCACACTGATGAACAACTAATAGATGTTTAGAGTGACTATATTCTAAGCAAGTGTTCTATCCACGTATTGAAGTCAACGTTTTATTACAGCTTAGAGGCAAAGCTAATAACAACATGTCTTTTCTGGACTAAAGCTGTGCTGTGGTGTGGAACAATAGCAGGAACACACTCTGTCCCAACATCTTTCATGGCTAGATGTCAACAGCACAATTGTTTAATTCATATTTCCTCGCCTATAACAATAATGTGACATGCGGACCATAGCTCAGTGCCTATTCTATGCATGTGTCAGCCCCAGGCCTGTATGTTGACTGTATTTGTTATTCATGAGATGCTCCACACTCAGGTACATGACGACTTATGTCTCTGTCTTGTGCTGTGTGACTCATCTCCTCAGGGTGAAGCATCCCAATATCCTCCAGCTGGTGGATGTCTATGAGACCAAAAAGGAGTACTTCCTGTTCCTGGAGCTGTGAGTTGGACTGTATAGTTTGTGTGTGTGTGTGTGTGTGTGTGTGTATGGGAGGTGTGTGTGTTGATTATACACTATTGGGGAATACGCTGTTGTAGCCTGGGGCCCTGTGGATATAAGAACGGCTGTGAACTCCACTCATTTGGAATGCAGATATGGTGATGGCTTTAGCAGCTCTATTCTCATCTGTGAGACCTCCCTGGATGAATGAATTTTCACAGATGCATTAAAAGTATGATGTCCTTTGAGTATTTTGGATTAAGAAAATCAGCACAATGAAATGTGTTTTGCATTTCTACAGAGAATTAATTATCCTCCTAACTCAGGTGCACTGGGTAATGTTGACTTTTAATTGTGGAATGATGATGAGCCTGCTGACTGTTTATGCATCATATATACAAAAAAATAAAATTTAAAACAAAATTGAGAAGAAAATGCTTTCTCCAAATGTGACAGAAAAACTTGTGGTGACACAACTGGGACAGATAAATGGCTGACACCTAAAACTGAAATGCTTACAAAGCACTTCAAAATGAGGCTGTGCAGTTCTGGATTCACTGTTGTTTTTGTAAGAAAAATGTCCAAACAAGATGGCAGCATTTTTCTGAAGTAAAATGCTATTTACTGTTCAATTTACAGTCTGCTGTTTACTTTCTTACTTATTATTTCTTGATCCTTAAACCCACCCTTTTATTGGCTCGCTCAGTCACAGCAGCAGCTTAGTATTGTACAACAACAATTACCACGTTTCTTCATTACATCAATAATCTATTTTGGGACCATTGTTAGGTATGATGCATGTTGTACTGCACACTGTAGCGTTCACCCTGAGTCACACTGTTGTCTGTGTGTGTCCAGAGCAACAGGCAGAGAAGTGTTTGACTGGATTCTGGACCAGGGGTACTACTCGGAGAAGGACACCAGCAATGTGGTGCGCCAGGTTTTGGAAGCCGTCGCCTACCTTCACTCACTGCACATTGTTCACAGAAACCTCAAGGTATATACTTACCAACAACTGATACATGAAAAGCAGATAGATAAAAGGGTAAAAATAGTTTTACCAAATTTTGGAGCAAAAATGTCTATACAATGTTACTATGAATTATTTTAAACTGAAAAAAAAAAAAAAAAGATTATTTTTGTCTCAGATTTTTTGGTTTACATATTTTTGTATGTGACACATATTCTAAAAAACTCCTCAAATTGACATTATAATTTGCTGCAATAAAATTCTCAAAATCTGGGATATAATATAAATTCTTGTATAGTTGTTTTAAGATGCCTTTGTAATATTAAGAGTCACCTGTATATTTGCTTATAATTTGATATCTTTAGTTGGAAAATCTGGTGTACTATAACCGACTGAAACACTCCAAAATAGTGATCAGTGACTTCCATCTGGCCAAACTGGAAAATGGACTGATCAAAGAGCCATGTGGCACACCAGAGTACCTGGGTAAGACATACTGCTATTTACACTGCTGTCTACTGTATGTATGCTGGTCAACTAATGTTCATGCTGTGTGCAGCCCCTGAAGTGGTGGGCAGACAGCGGTATGGGCGCCCGGTGGACTGCTGGGCCACTGGGGTCATCATGTACATATTGTAAGTGAGAAGACAACGTGCATGTCAAGTGTTTGCCATTCCCAAAACACTCTTGAAACATCATGATTTGAAATATTTGGTTAATATGTTGATATCTCCATTGAAAATATATTAGAGCATGTGTTCCACCACTGTACCTGTGCCTTTAGAGAAAGAGAGAGATAGAGAGAGATACTTTATTGATCCTGAGGGAAATTCAGTTTTGCTGCAGCAACATTTACACTGTGCTTCACAATCTAGTCTAAGTTTAGAACACAGGAACAATGTTCTGTTTACCAACACTACCTGCCTCCTTCTGAAGTTTTCACCCTTTTCTCCTTAGACTATCAGGCAATCCTCCCTTCTATGATGAAACTGAAGATGATGACTATGAAAACCACGACAAAAACCTTTTCAGGAAGATCTTAGCAGGAGACTATGAGTTTGACTCTCCATACTGGGATGAAATATCTGATTCAGGTACATTCCTGACCAAGTATGCAGACAGATGAAACTTTGCTCTTATTGAAAAATCACCTACTTTTGGCTGCTCTTTGTTGACAGCCAAAAGTTTAGTGGCTCGTCTCATGGAGGTGGACCAGGACCAGAGGCTGACTGCGCAGGAGGCCATAAACCATGAGTGGTATGAAGAACTCATTCATTTCATATAGACTCACAAGACAGCCCTCACTGGCCTCTAAAATTCAAGACAGCCATAGTTATACTATGGTCACAGTGAAAATTGTAATGTAAACAGCACTGTTGTATGTTATAATGTAATTCAGCAACAGTTACTTCCTTCACTGTGCAAGTCATGCTAACATGCAAACAATGCAAATGTGGTTATCTTTTATTATGTCTATCCTCACGTCACAGTGTATAAATGCATCATATGTGACAGTGGGACTAAGACTAAGCTGGGTGTGTACTGGGTGTGTACTGGGTGTGTACTGGGTGTGTACTGGGTGTGTACTGGGTGTGTACTGGGTTTGTACTGGGTTTGTACTGGGTTTGTATTTCCAGCAATAAAACAGAGAAAACGTTGCCAGTATTAACAGTCTGTGCGATCATGTGTCTTCAACAGGATCTCAGGTGGAGCTGCCTCAGATAAGAACATCAAGGAAAATGTCTGCGCTCAAATAGAGAAGAACTTTGCTAGAGCCAAGTGGAAGGTAAAAATGTTCAGATATTCTGATTTTAAACTATATGCTGTGTTTGCATGTGCTAGTGGTTGGCGAGCCTTCAGTGTCATAAGAAAACATTTTGTTGTCTATGTCTGGTTCAGGTGGCCCCACAGTTTGCACTTTGGTTTAAAAAAAATATTATTTTTTTAACTTCCAAACATTTATTTGACCACTGCACTTCATATTTTGTTCACCCTCAGAAAGCCGTGCGGGTCACAACAATCATGAAACGTCTGAGAGCGCCTGACAGCGACTCAAAGGCAGCTAGCCCAGCAGCAGGAGCTTCAGCAGAGGCTCCTGCAGACCCCCAGGCCTCTGCTGCCTCCTCCGCACCCCTGTCCAGCACCGAGGGAGTGCCCACTGTGGAGGTCAGCCCCTCACAGCCACAGCCTCCTCTCCAGGACGCCCCGCCAGAGCCCCGCTGCAATGGGGACGCACCAGTCCCCTCCACAGGCGTTCAGGCTGAGGACGAGCAGGGATAGGTGCACTGAACCTCCTCTCTACAAACTGTACATTAGCTGCTAGCATGGTGACACTGACTCTGCTTCTCCGCATCACCTCATGGGGGTGCTGTGTTCCTAAGTGCTGCGCGCTCATCACTGGCTTCTCCTCTCATCCACACTTTGTCTTTCTGCACTGACCCTGTGGTATTTTATGTCATTTATACTGCGTTCACTTGTGTTGAAACACTCACAGAGATCCCTGACAAGCTGTGACTGGGAGCTAAAGTCCCAGTGCTAACACAGTTATAGCAAAGCTAATTGTGCTAAAGCTGCTTTGATTCCCTTTTAATGAGGCGACCAGGGAAACTGCTCTGTCAGTCCAAAAATCACTTCTAACATTAGCAGGAAGGTGCCTGCAGACGTGCGTTTTACTAGACAGACCCTGTCCTGTGTTTACCTATGGACTATATTATTAAAAAGAGTCTTTATGCAAACTAATGACATTATATTCAATCTTCTACTTAACACGCTGAACCCCATGATATCGCTGAAATAAGTAAGTGCAGTGAATCAACATCATAAAATAGCTCAAGGAAAAACAAAACCTGCTCTGGTATTTCTTTTCATAGGGTCCAGAGCACACTGTAAACATCTTGGTCTATATTAGCCTATTTATACTTTTTAAAAGCAAAACTTTATTCCTAGAGTGCAGTTTAGTATCACGAAAAAACTGTGGCTGACGTTTCACTGTTCATGCCCTCAATAGGGATGTTTTCAATATTTAAAGATGCATATTATTTTATAGAATTATATAATATTAGGGGTACAACAACTGATAATTGAACATTATAGTTTTCGGGTTTATGCCTTTTAGTTTTCTTGTGGCATACATCTTTTTCACTGAAATAAGGTGTTCTCAGAGTTAGTTTGAGAATATTTTAAAATCAAATCCTGGTAGTAATGACAAAATATTTTGCATTAGTGCAAACTGTACATGTTTAGGATTCTGACAGTGAAGTCTGCTCAATTTTAATGGCCATTGCTACATTTATAAGCGGCAGCTTTCAAATAAACTTTTCTCCTTTGCTCAACTTTCTGCTCAGGAAAGAACCTCACTAGAATCTGTATATAGATGTTTAGAAGTAGCCAAAACAGCATGGATGTTCACCCCACATGTACCTGCCCCACATTTACCCCACCCCACATGTACAGACACTTGGATACAGATGATCCAAAGCCACAGCATAGTCTCACCACAAGCCATAGCTTACTTTTAAGGCAGAACTCTTTTAGGCTAGGAGAAGGCACGATTTGCATTGTTACAAAAAGGTTGAATTAGCATTGTGCATTTGCGTTCCTTTTATTTTTAGCTTTTCATTTGCCATTATGTCATATGAAGTTTACCTTCTTTTGTATTAGCTTGTATTTGTTAAGTACGTGTCTAGAAGAGATGTTTAATTATTGTATATTGTTAATATTTGCACTCAGAGATCATTAGCTGCCATTTATTGTTTCTTAATGTATTTGAGGAAATACTTGATAAAAAACTGTCCCTTTCCAAAGCTTCAATTATGTGCTACATGCTACTTGGATCACCCGCCCAGAGGAGATAGAGCAATACTGACTGGCTACAGAAACTGTGATCCTTAGTGTCCCGTAGATGGCGTCCACGTCTATGAGTGAAGCAGTCCTTTAACACATGACAAGGCTGGGTCCAAATCACTCAGTGGTGTCTCTTTTACCAGAATGACTTTGTTGTAGTTCAAACTGATGAAATAGCAAGAGGAAAGGGCAAGAGTTAAAGAAAAGTTTCAGTTTGAATTTGCTGTATTATACATCCACACAGTATGGTTTTGAACATATTTGCCATACGTTTGTTCAATTACAGGTGTTTTATAGCTCAAAAATACCTTAAAAAACTTGAAATCTTACTATTTGCAGGCTTGTTTCTCTATTAATCTGACCATGAGCTTGTCTCCATTGTGATAATCAAGTACATACTGTGAAAATAATCAAGACAAAGCAGTAACGTCTCCAAGGAGATAAGCAGGTGACAGACCCTCCACCAGAAAAATTGCACAGTGCATCTTTAAGTAAATGGTGGTAACCCTGTCAATTATAACCAGTATCTAAATGACAAAAAAGAGCCCAAGACTGATAGTTTTACTGGCTTATAGATATTGGCCTCAGTATATCAGAAGAAAAGCGATAGTGGAGTTATTTTGGACCCAGCCACAATAAGAGTTGTGACTCACACACGCCACACGGTCTACTCACTGTGCACAGATGTCCATTTGTATGAAAATGTGCACTAACAAATAATTCATATGAGATTTGTTGTCTTAAAATGTTTCTATTTTAGTCATCTAGTAAATTTCTCATCCTTTTTCGGACATACAAATGTACTTATTATTATTATTATTATTATTATTATTATTATTATTATTATTATTCAGAGATGTATGTGAAAACATTTTTTCATGTATTATATGTATTGACTTTGATAAACTAAAGACAAAGCTTCTCCAGTCCATGTCTTGCTGTACAGTCCCATCTCTGTGGTCTAAAGCTGGACCAGTGGTCTTCAGGAGGCCCTGTCCAGCATCTGTCAGCTGTTGTAATCTATTGACAAAGTTGATGACTTTGATGGTAATAAAACTTAATTCATCCAACTTGTTTTCAGACTATTTTTTTAATTAACATTCACCACACTAAGGAGCAAAGATGAGAGGATGCTGAGGTGCTCTCTGGATCTCAGTAGTATACAGTGTTGGGGAGTAACAGATTACATGTACTGGAGTTATGTAATGTAATCAGAGTACAAATTATGAGTAACTGTATTCAGTTACAGTTACTGTTTCAGTGAGTGGTAATTGGATTACAGTTACTTTGTTGAAATAAATGGATTACATGGCGGTATTTTGCTGTTTTTCTATTTTCACTTTTTTTTTTTTTTTTTTTTTTTTCAGGTAATTCCACTCATTGCTGGAAACTAAACCAGGTTAAACTAGATCTAAACCAGGTCTAAACCAGGACTAAACCAGGACTAAAACAGGATTTAACAGGACTAAATCATGCTGCGTGGACGTGTCTCCTCTTCTATCAATAATATTTTTAATCTGGTTCAGTAAAGTCTGGGCTCATTATTTTCTTTTAACAGACAAAACATCTTATCTTTGCTTCTCTACAGCAAATCAAGTAATCCAAAGTATTCAGATTACGTTACTCACTTTAAGCAATTTAATGGATTCCATTACAAACTACATTTTGGGGTATGTAATCTGTAATCTGTAGGGGAATACATTTTAAAAGTCACCTTCCCAACACTGGTAGTATGGTGAGTGACGTGCAGCCCACCAGGTGCTCTTCAAGGACAAAGAGAGCGCGTCAAAACTCTTACAATAAAGAAAGAAAGAAAGAAAAAGTATGTGGCACTCCTGGTAATGCTTGTGGTGATCATGTAATTCAATGATCATGTGATCAATCATATGACCTGTTTAAAAGGTGTACGTACACGCCCGCGTTATGCCATGTTGAAGACGCGAGTTTATAAATTAATGCAAATACCAGAAATGCCTCACATATCTTCTTTATTGGAACACAAAGAGCTGGTTTACTGATCTGAGTAAATCTGATGAGGGGAATTGGAAGTCAATAGACTTATAGACCACCATCTCCAAAACTGCTTTTGTGGGATTTTTTCAGTGTAGGCCAGTGATTTCAGAAGGTTCAAGGTGATACAAAGGTGCACTAAAGCTTTGAAACAGCTCTCACCTGTGCCATGGATTTCACATTTCTCCTGTGGGACTTATCTCCTTCTCTACACTGTATAATATTGGGTTTATGGCACTCCACTGGGAGCAATATCAGTGAACTGACTGTCCCTCTCAATACGAAGCCTTTTCCATCCCCAGGAAGTCCATATCTCAAAATCACAGGACAGCCTCATAATCAGCTGTAAAGTGGTGAATGGGCAAGATGCATCAGTTTCCCGCAAGGAGCTCGCACGGGATACCCAAATATAGCATGCTCCGAGGAACAAGTATGTACCAGACTACTGCGTCAGTGTGAGAGATTGAAAAACACTGTGAGGTGAAACGTAGCAATGATCAGCGCTACATCAATCAGCCTGGACACACGGTATCACAGGGGAACAACTGTACAGAGAAAAGAAACAATGTTCTCTTTGTTGAGATGTATTTTTCTGTTTACATCTAATTTACCATTACATAGTTTATTATTGGTGGACTGATTATGGCCAGTTGTTTCTACAGCTACTAGGATAATTTATTCATAGCCTATTAAATGTTTAAAAAAAGAACACAATGCTATCAGATAAAGACAATTAATCAAGTTACTATTTCTATTAGTATTTGCAGTACACACATACATTTGTTAAATGTTAATTATTTTAATAAACATGGCATTGTCATTTAAATTAATAAAATCACATGAATTAACTAATTCTACATGAATTAGTTACATGGTTTATTTTATTATTATTTTTGTACTACTCTGTTGGCACATTTTGAAGCACAGATTTTGGTTGCCATCTGGTGGTGTCCTCATTGTATTACATGAGATAAATAGACCGATATTAAATATGAGTCCATATATTTATTATTTTATGCTATGTATGTATGTATGTATAAATACACGTGGAAATAGTTAACTACAGCTACATAGGCCTATTAAAGGCCCAACATTAACGTTTATCTATGGGGAAATCCACCAGAGGGCAGCAACACTTTGTCTTTATATAGCCAGTTATATTAATAATAATTATTCCTCAAGTCTTGCAACTGTAACGTGCCAAGAACATTGACAGGGTCCATGTGCATGTGAAGAGTGTGGGTGTGGTGCACACTTGCCCCTCTCTCAGTCTGCTCCTAAACGGACAACTCACTCAGCTGGACTGGAGTCTGGAGTTTCAACTCAAAACCAAATAGTAAGATTTCACTAAATACTTTTTTAACTTTGTTGGCGCATGTCTTGTGAACAAGCAAAAACGTAAAACATTTCTTGCAGTGATGAATTTTACAACCTTCAGCATGGTTTTGAGAAGTAATACACTGGAGTTTTAATGAACAAATACTTCAAACAAACAAGAATAATTTAATTTCAAGAAACACAACACTGTACAGAACACAGTATGAATATTACACATAGCCTCTGCTTTTGTGAAACCCTTTTCACGTGATAATTTTTAACAAATGCATATTATTCACTGACTGGAAAGGAGTACAGAGATGTCCACTGTATGTGTCACAGAGCAGCAGAGATAAGACAGAATTGGGTGACCTCAGTCTATTGAACATTGAGAACTTGGAACTGATCACGGGATGGTGGGCATAGATAAAATGCCAAGGCTTTTCATAACAGTGCCACAGACTGACTGCAGTGTTGTTCTGTACTGAGTCATGCAGTATGATGGACTGGGTCAATACACTTTATCCCACATTAAGAAATGAGAGATAGTTTATCCCATCATAGTAACTTTCGCCAAAATAAGGAAGAAAATATATAACTATAATGTCCCTAAAGATAGAATGTAACAACAAATTCATAAGAAATAGTCATTTTAATCATAAAAAAATAAAACTATTTATTAGTCCATCAAATTTCTTCAATTAGTATTATTATAATAATGATAATAATATGACCAGATTTTTTTTATTTTATTATTATTATTATTATTTTTTACTTCTCTTGGTTACACATTAACTTAAATTACTTTAATCTGATGATTTATTTTGTTTGTGATGTACCATTGTTTTTTGCTTTCCTTTATTTTAAGTGTCATTCGTAGTCTGTCATCATTCATGTGCATGTACTCTTTCACTTTCTGTTCAAATTTATTTTTTCATTTTAATAAAAGAAAAAATAAATCTGTAAAAGGAGAACTGTATTGCAATAATTTGTGCCTGTGAAGTGGAATGCCTTCTTTGTACTTCCTCCATTCTGAGTCAGATGAGATAAGCCTGCTCTGCCGAGGTGGGTCCAAAGCAGTCCAGAAGTCATGTGCTGCCAGGAATGCACTGTTATTGTTGTGCTGTTTCTGACCCATTGTTCCTCTGCTTTGGAGATAGAGCCACTTGGACTCCAGATATGCTCTAATCTTCACGTTATACACCAGGTCAGCACTGCCTGAGGTCCAATGATGGAAGTTCTCATTCATAAAACCAACAACAAAATAAGATGATCTCTTACATTAGCATTAGCACAGCATTACAAGGCTATGGTTCTTCATGTGATAGAGATATACAATTATAATAACTGCTGATTGCTCACATATCCAGATGTCACGTTCCAGGTCTGCTGCACCAGCTGTGGGGTTATCATCTCATCTATACAGTGGTCATTGACAATGGTTCTACTTTTTGATATCGTTGTGAAATTAAATTAAAGCAGATAGTCAAGGGTACATTTATGCCATATATATTACTCATGGACATTTTTACCTTATATAAATTCTGTGTGTTTGGTCTTTTGCAACTGATTGGACAAGGCAATCAGTATGATATGTGGGAACGAGTGGCTGACCTTTAATAATGATAATAATAATAATAATAATAATAATAATAATAATAATAATGCACTGTCTTATATAGCTTTTCTAAATGCTCAAAGTGGTTTTCCAGTTTTGTGCATTATTCATTTACTCCACACTCTATGGTGGTAAGCTACTATAGTCACAACTGCCCTGTGGTAGACTGGCGGAAGCGAGGCTACCATTCTGCACTCCTCCGACACCACAACACACACCACATTCATACTAGCCAATGTGGGTGAAGTGCCTTGCCTAATGACACAACAATAATTTCTGCCACTGTGGCACAATATTTCCCCGCAGTCTCCCATCCAAGAACTAACCAGGTCTGGCTTTGCTGAGATTCTGAGATGTGACAAGGTCAAGCATGGAAAAGGTGTAACCGGAGAGGGAAGTTTGATTAAGATTGTGAAGAATGAACGGGCATGTTTGAGTTATTATTTCCATGCATGGGAAGTTGGCGAGTTTCTTAACACCTTCCCAATCAGTTTCTTTACTGTTCTGATTTCTAACTTGTTTGCAGATCACAGTATAATATTTGCAGACCACAAGTGAATCAATACAAATTAATCAATACAATTAAGTGTGCTACTGTTTATCATAATGGATTTGTTTAATTGAATGCAATTATATTCTTATGTGGCTCAGCAACAAAATAAAATGCGTATAGATTTCTGCCTCACCCTTTTCTGTTTAAATGGTTATAGATTCACATTACAGTCTCCTGTGGTTTCACAGTTACACCACTGAGAAGTGCATTTGTGCTTAATGTACTGACTAATGAGCTGAGAGCTTCTACTGTGCTGTGCTATATAGCTGGTGGCTGGTTATTCAATCAATGGAATATTTTTACAAGATAAGGACACTGTACATAGTTTAGAAATGATCTACAACAAGCGTATAGCCATGTTGTACAATAAGTTTCACATCATTTCTAGACATTAGAATATGATCAGTAAAACCACATCTATTGCCATAGCTGATAACATGGCAACCAAAGTACAATATTCAACAATTAAGTACTTGTATTAAATCACAACCACACAGAAGTTTCTAGATAAACGTGCTAACACACCTCCACTGTTGGTTTTGTCACATCTGATTTGATTTGTGGTGTAAACCCCATGTGCAAATCAAATGCAAACAGATGGAACGTCTCCATGGTCCATAGACAATACTTTATTTTCTCTCCAACATTATGTGCCACAAATGTTCCACGTTGCACACGGACGACACACAACAACACACCTTAAAAAGACACATCCTGTTTATGTCTATGTACAGAGGTGTGTGTGGTGCACTTAAAGCATCGGATCCACCCATTTCACTGAAGAATGTCCCTGTGACATGAATGAAAACAATGAGCACACAGGATCAGAACTACAGCACATCGGACAGGTTCATGCACACAATGAAAGCCAGCTTCCCCACATTTTGGTTAGAGTCACAACATTTTTTTTTTTTTTACAATGCTTTGTTGTATACACGGGCATTTTTCACAAGGGAATTGAATCAGGAATATGTCTTGTGCTCAGGTTTAATGCTGCAGTCCCGTCTGAGCACCAGTTTCATTGTCGTCTCCACCAACATCAGCTGCTATATAGTTGTGCTTGTTCCATATATGTCATCCCTTTAAATTAAAAGAATAATGCCCTTCATGCAAAACCTTGACAACCTTTGTAACAGTTCTGCATTTGGAAAAGTATATATTGTCTATATTAGCCTGATCTGCCCCAATGTTTAGTCTGGTCTTGGTGGCAGAAGGGGCAAAAGAAATGTATGAAAATTTAGCTGCCTCTAAAAGCAATCAGATGACTTATTCATCTTATTCATGGGTTTCAGTTTAGTATTTAAAGCCGCCATTTTGAGTACTTTTGCCAATCCTTTGTCTTTGAATTGTAATTAAGTTAAATTAACACAGTGACAGTGAAACCCATGGAAGGTGTTACAGGTTGGTCCAATCAAATTGTTGTAAAATGCAAATAGTTGTAGTTACATTATTCTAAGTATAGTATTTTTGCCTGCATTTTTAAGTCTCAAAGGGAATTATATGCATTTTTATATTTCAATTAGCAGGACTAGATTTTACCAAAGTATTTTCTCCATATGTAATCATTGTACATTTTCTCAGATCATGCTGCTGAGGAATCCATTTAATCATACAAAAAAAAGGAAATAAGAGCTTTTTTGGGCCATCATCGAAGTACAAAAGTAAAAATAAAACATTACACACAGACCCTTTAAGTCATTTTTCATCCCGGCAGATGTTGCATGATTCCCCAGTTAGTCTTCTCACTCAGAACACAAAACATCACATTTATATTGCAGGCTGAATGCAGTCTCTGTAGAAATGCCTTGTTCCTCATGGATCCATAATAATCCAGTCATTTTGCAGTGTTAAGTCCATGTCCATGCATCTGACCACACTGCATCACTGGGTCCCACTGCATCCACAATTTAAAAGGTCCCGAGTCCAAAACAAGCAGGAAACTACATATCCCATCACCCCTTAGCTCGCTCCCAACTGGTGCAGAGACACATGATGTTGACAAAGAAGTAACAGCAACAACAATAAAATAACCAACAACAGTAATAACATTAATATTCGCCCCCAAAAGGTACCTATACACAAAGAGCATGTTTTATAAGTACAAAGAATCCACTGATGGTAATATATACAACCTACAATAAATACTGCGTATCATATATCTGAGTGTATGGGGTTGTATCTGTAAGCTTTTTCTTTTCTCAGTTTGATTGTGGAGTTGATCTTTTTTCTTTTGCTACGAGTCTCTCCCAGTTTTCACAGGGTAAAGGGGCGGGACAGAGGAAGTATACAGTAAGTCTCTAAACGCCTCCTCATGTCTCTGTCTGGTCCTCGTCATCCTGGTGGTCCCCGTGATGTCGGCGGTTGCGTGGTTTCTTCTGCTCCTTCAGTTCCTTTAGATCTTTGGCCTTGAGTGCCCCCATCAGCGGGTCTCCATACTGCCAGTAGTCCTGACAGTATTGGTTGATCAGATTCATCTCGGGCTGGCTCAGGATGGTCAACAGGTCCTTGTACTGCCCTGCGCTGGGGGTCCACTGTGTGCTGGTGTGGAGGGAGGATGGCACCAGACCCCCAGCGACCTCTACCAAGGCGTTGTTGACAGCGCGGCCTGACAACACAACCAGTTGGAGCTTGACCAAAGTGTGCTTGAAGTTCTTTTCCGTGGCTGTGCACTGGTACAGACCAGAGTCTGAGGGCTGCAGGGAGCGCAGGAGGAGACCCTGCTCTGTTTTGAGGATCCGTCCATCTGAACGCATCTGCAGGAACAGAAACAAGAATGTTTCAAATTATCTTAAAGTCTGATAATTTCTTAAAGGAAAGTGCAAGTTTTTGAGAAAGTTCAGATAGGTGAATACAAACAGTCAATGTAGTCAACAGTGTTAATGTACATTTCAAGCTGAACTATAATAATATTGTCATATCTGAATGATTAAAAAATTAATTTAGAATGTGTTTGTGTAATAAATCTGTAACAAAAAGAGTTTTCCAAATTGTTTTCCAAAGAGGTAAAAGGCCACTGACACATAATATTAAATGATCTCATCCCTTTGGAATTTAATTTTATTATTTGGGAGTTTCTCTGTAAAGAACAAGACCTCCCTTAATTATGCTGTGAAATGGTCCAGAAAGCAAATCAATGAGCCTTCTCTGAATCCAACCTCCCTAATTTGCAGTTTGTTGTGTGGTTCACCTACTATGAGCATAGAAGCATAGGCTTGAGACGTAACATTTTTCCCCTTTGTTTTAATGTACATCAGTAAATAATAATAATAAAAAAGCCTTTTTTCTTTTTCTTTTTCTTTCTGTGGACAGTGTGTTCAAGAAACATAAGCAGAAACTTCCTTCACAACAAAGAGCATCCAACAGAATTATCAATAAAAAGGTTGCAGCTTGCAGCTTCACTATAAAACTTTCACTAGTGCCTCAGGGCTGTAGATCATGGTCAGAGTCTTCACATGTTCAGGACAGTTGATGCTCTGACATCATACGGCTCAGGACTGTCTCCAATTTACACTGGGGTGGCTCTTTCAAACATATGGTACTTTTTATGTCGCCTTTACACATTTTATTTTATTTTTTTTCACATGCAGAACGTGGTTCAAGCTGACTCCAAAAACATTCTACTTAGGTAATAGCAAAGGAGAAATTCAAATCTGTCATTTGGACAAAAGTTTTTTGATCGAATATGTTTCGCAGCTCATCCGTGTTGCTTTTTCAGTTCTGGTCATTGCTGGTGGACAGTGCCTTATATCTGCCCGAAGGGAAAAGCTAACTACAGTGGAACTAACACACCTACTTATTTACAGTTTCTGCTTAGTAAGAAGGTCTACTGAACTGCACCGTGGGACTGTGCCCGAGTCATATTAGCATAATCAGGGTGTTTTCACATTTCTAAGCATACAGGCTGTTTTTGTTTTGTTTTGTTATGATTTAGGTCTGAGGATGGAGTTGTAAGTAATAGTAGGTAAAATATGTGACAAATGTTGTTATTGTGAACCCAAAGAAGTTTGCTTGGACTGACCTCTTTCCGCCGGTCGCTGTTGTCTCTCTGCAGGTGCCATTTGATCAGAGCGTGTGGGGAGCGCGCCTGGCACTCTAAGAATGTGCTGCTGCCCTCCACCCCATACTGTACCATCTCCACTGTGTTCTTATTGGCTGCGGGGCAGAGAGACAAAGGGTTTCTATGACAACCACACACTTGCCTTAGGGCAAATAATACAATTACACCATCAGAAATCAACAAATTTCAGTTTATGATGGCAGTATTTAAAGCCTACAAATGCAAATGATGTTAAGAAGATATGTACCATTAGAATTGAATCCTCTGCATTGGCGTATGGGGTTCCCGTACCTGACGTCCTGTCTCCGGCTTCGTCTAAAGGGGTCAGACCAGTGTTGCCGAATAAGGAGAGAAAAAGAGCATAAAGCAACCGCAAAGCCATCCAAAGCCATTCAGTAAACCATTTCACTGATACAGTCAACAGTAAAGTCATTTCAAAACTAGTCCAAAGAGATTTTCTTTGCTTTTAATGCTTTTGTTCCAATTTACCTCTAGTTGTGCTGATGCTGCCTCTAGAAATACTTTCTGCAGGGTCTAACCTAGGGCTCTGTTTTGATGCTCACCTATAGTCATTTTTGTTGTATATAGTCAAATTTGTTATTTTCTAGTTATACATATTTCAAAAAGTAGTGATCAAGACTACTAGCTTCAGAAGACATTTCGCCTCTCAGTCTTTCAATTCAATTCAGTTTCTTATGGAATATAAGGATATATAAGGAATCTCAACAAATGATCTCATCAAATAGTTGTTATCGTTGCTGGCATGTCTATGTCTATCAGCATATTATCACATACAGACAGGACATTTAAAAATGCATACATTAGTTGATCTAATTCTTTGGATTAATATAATATTATTAGAACAAAATTCAGTGCAGCCACAGAGCCATCCAGTAAGCTTACACATGGTTTCATCACACCACCTGGGTTTGTTATTAGTGGGGCTCATGCTGACACACTAACAGGCCAACAGGCTGCAGGTACTCACCTCTTCTGGGAGGAAGAGTAGCGGGAGCAGGATTTGCCATCCCAGGCGCAGTAAGGGTCTCTGGCCAGGCAGCAGTCTGCACACGCCTCCCCATACGCATCACAGCGGTGCAGGGCCAGCTGGGTCAGGCCGATGGCAGATGACACGTAGAGCTGTTGCTGTTTAAAGAAAAGATTTTCAAAGCACAATGCGTCATGCCTGAATCATCTGGAAAAATACTCCACTTAGGTCTTCATGCTCAGTTCATATTAGCAGATGTTTGAAATTTATAGGCCAGCTGTGTATATATTGTATATTATATTGTAAATATTATGCATTTATCTTGTCTTAATTTGATCACATATTAAGTAATTAGGCTATGAGACAAAATAATGTGAGCAATCCTTGAAATTCTACACTAGATCTAATGCTAACATACTTACAAGTCTTAATATTTAGCCTAAACTAAACATTAAAGGTTTTAAAATTGTATCTGTAACAAAAAATTTATATTATGTCTAGCAATAGCTTTGAATTAAACAAATCAACTTACTCTTTTAGAGGAGATCTTCATTGTTGTAATGGGAGTAGGCACCTAATTAATGACAAAATAAATAAATAAATAAAAGATCTGTGCCACCAGTGAATATGTTTGGATATTATTGAGATCTGAATTCCGTTTCTCTCTTAGTACATACCTTAAAGACTTCCACTTCCTCCAGCACCAGCTCCTCAGTCTGCAGGTCATCTCTGGGCAGCACAATGACCTTCTGCACAGTGCCTTTGTCTGCAGATCACAACATCACACCTGTCAGCTTACACCCGCCACCTCTGTCAACATCGCATTTCATTTCTATAATCCTCCCATCCACTGCTCTCTACTCCACCTCGGTCATGTGCCTCACTTTAGTTAAAGTTCAGTGACAACCAGCCGTGTTTTACTTTATTCACTGCTATCACCATGACAAACCACTTCTGTCATCCTGGAACTTCTCCTATTCATCCAGTGTCCCAGTTGGGTGGGAAACGTGAGATATATTCTGACTTCTGAATAAAGGACTGAAAAGCTGCCAAATAAACAAAAAGACTGCTTTAGAGGGATCATATACGCTAAGATTTTGATAATTTTGGTAAAGGAGAATGTTTTAAATGGTGATGGCATGAACAACGAAATGTTTTTATAGTAAACATAAGAAATAATACTGTGGATGAAACAGGGCAAAGAACAAAACAACCTGCACCACGTGATAGTCCATTGTTTTAGTTTTGACCATTGATCACTATAGTTGTGGCACATCCATCAAACATTGCTATTAGCGACCATGTGACAAAATATGAATTGAAAACTAGTGGTATTTCTAAGAGAAGTAATTGCCCCTCCATGCCCTGCAGGTACAGTCAGTTCACAGATGAAAAGGCACCCTGTGATGGGGTCTGCAGAGGCACAAAGAATGCTCTAAATGATAAATGATTGTAGAAGAGACAGGCCGCTGCTTACGTGGGCTTTATCTCTGAGTCTGGGATTTTGAACCATTATTCACTGTGACACTGGCATGCACAAATTAAAGTGATCAAAGACATGTGATTGTCAATCAAAAAGAACCTCACTATTGTACCTTTGTTTTTCTACGACCCAAAATATACACATACCAGTTCCCAGGAAGAGCACTTCGTAGTTGCCATCTGCTGCAGTCACCTGGTCCACTGTGATGGTGGTGAACTCGTAGTCCACATTGGTTCTAACCACCAGGGGGCGCTTGTGCACTGGATAGATAGAGTTGTACATGGTTGGGTGGTTCCTCATGAAGTTGATCACTTCATCGGGGTAGTCTTTAGTTGACTTCATGTTTGGAGTGAAAGTACCTCCGGGGCACTGAAGGACAGAATCAAACACCATAAATATATGTAGATATAAAGAAGATACACACAGGGCTCCATGAAATAATAAATAAGAAACAAGCATTGTGAGGCAGCATTTTGATTACTTACTTTTCAGTGATAGAAAATGAACTGAAGTCACTGTTTCACAAATAAGTGAGTAAACTGAAATATTATTTAAGGGCATTTAAAGGTGCTGTACCTCATTTTTACTTTTTTGATCACACGAAAAACAGAACTACTTCATTATAAACAGTTTGCAGTGGTACAAAGTTATTCCTTATACGTTGCACATTGTGAGTATTCTAATTATTCATTGTGGTGAGTTTTTACAACTCTGAGACCAGAGAGGAGTTGTGCTGAGTTTAGCTTACAAGAACTAGCATGCTAATGAAATGTAGACAGCGCACAGTAGAATTATTTTGACCCAAAGAGCTGCTTATACAATATATTGTATAAGCACAGTACTGTACTTGTATAAGTACAGGGGCAAGACAATTTTTGCTCAAATACTTGGGAAAAAAATCTATTAAAGGGCCTTTAATATTAAATGAACACAATGAGTAACTGCCCCCTTACGTCTGTAAGGCAAGACAAATGGTAGATGAACCGAATATAAATGGTGAATGTAGAGACTCTTGGTATATGGTGTGATAATACTGACCGTCCCAGGACGAGGGTATGGAATCTTTCCTGTATAGGCAACCCACTGGTAATTGGGACCCTCTTTGTGGGCAAAAGGTCCATTGAAGACCATGCGGATGTCAGCCATAGAGTACACACAGACTGCTGAGCCTTTGAACACAGAGCTGTGAGAAGAAAGGCATAAAAGTCTTACCATTCATTCTCAATGCAGCTGAATTTATTACACTTTACTGGCTGTTGAACGGCACTAACCCGGAGACAGAGAACACTCCATAGATGACTGGATTTTTTGTGTCCTGTGTTGGCTGTATGTAAACATCTCCTGCAAAGAGAAGAGAGAAATCATGTTGGTGCATTCACGCCAAGAGGCCCTGCTAATATTTACACACTCAGAAAGGCTTTTGTCACAGATGACTTTTAGCAGCCACTTCTAGGAACGTGCTATTCTCCAGCACTTGAATACGCTTTTGTTTCTGGAAAATGAATTAAATGTTTCTGTTTTTGTTTTCATCCATTCCCTTTTGCTATAAATTAAAGCCATGAAGCAAGAGAGGTTTAACATACTGGTGGTAAACCCAAATCCAAACAAAGCAGTAAGTTTCCCTCTACAGTCTAGACTGGAATAGACTGGAGAGACATATCCGGTGAGGAACCTGAGCGTTCTGGGGTAAAGATGTGAACATTTAAACATGAAGAGAGGGGAACCTTGGGCCCATCCTTCATGTCTACAACTGTGAGAGAAAGGAAACGTCTCCTCTGTCCCAAAAGACATCCAAGCTCCAGCCTGTGTTGTTGCAGTACAAACCAAGAGTTTTTCAAGGAGGCATCACTCAGACAGATGTGCCCTTTCTTTGGCAAAGGTTCATTCTGTCTTTAGTTTAAAACTAAACTTCTTTTAGTCAGACATGAGATTTTGTTTACCTGCTTTACATGTTTTGCATTTAAACTAAATCTATTTAATAGATACGAGCTTTGGACAGTGCTTTAGACAATGTTTAAACAATGTTTTGATGTTCCCAAAATTAAAATACAGTACACGTGTCCCAAAATAACATCTGTATTCATGATAGAGGCTCTTATTTATTGTTCTTGACCTCAATTTTAGTGGTTTCAACAACAATGTATATTTGTTATTTGAAATCAACAAAACAAACAAAAATATATGTTTTTCAATAATGTTTTAAGGTATTATTTCACAATATACAACATGAGAAGATGTTGATTTGTTGAAGTGACAGCATTGTAAATTAATAGGTTTTTGCCAAATACAAATGATTTTTTAAAAATGTTTTCCAGCAATAGCAACTTTTCTGCTCGACTATTCTGCTTTAGTGTGGGACAAGGACATTCCATATAAAATAGAGTATGCTCTAGAACAGGAAGTGGCGAGGGAAATGATTGTGCTGTAAAAAGTCAACAAGTGCAGGGCATCGGGGAGAAGCTAAAAATATGTCTATATACCACTCTTGTATGTGTGAAAGAACCAGTGCTAGACACAGCAAGTACTATTCAGATTTATGTATGCTGTCCCATATAGACTAGCATGAGGAATTAGCTGTCAGAACACTGTACAGATAGAATGATCCATTGAGGCGCGTGGACGATTCTTTCCCGCAGGACTCCCTACAGCCATACGCTCATTTCTGGACAAGTAAAGCCACCACCAGACATCCTTCTTCTTCTGCAAGGTACAACAAAGTCACACTTGTCCACAGGCTACCTTCACTACAACGAGTGGTCAAAACCTTGGTAGAGCATAGCTGAGATGGATCAATATTTAAGGGAAATGGCCACTGATTTAATAATAGCAGTAGTAGAAGTTTATCCTGTCATTTTGCAGCACTATAAAAAAAAAAAAAAACTTTGACTACAACCCCATTGTTCATGACCGAAAGGGTTTAGGCTGAAGTAAAAAGTACTTATAATGTCTAACCCTGTCATAAAATAACAGAATTCCAAGAAAGAAAGCAGCGTATGAACAGCAAGTTTGCATTTACAATCTCACTTACGACTTACTGTGTATATAAGTGACAAAATATAAATTAAAACAAACACAGATGTATCCATAATTCATTCATTCCAGAGCTCTTTAGCTATCAAAATGCTTTATACCCTTTTTAAAGTCTTCTACAGCATCACACTTTTGTAATTCATCACTCAGGTGGTTCCATATACTAACCCCTCACAATTTTTTTCTTAGTACTTATCTTCATTTTTTAATAGATGCCTGTTCTTCTAAGTTTATACTGAATTTTTTGAATTTTTATCATCTGAAGCAACAACAGCTCTGCCAACAGAACCGTGATGACTTAAGCAAGACCAGATTCTATTTTCTCCATGTTTGCTTAGAAAAAAACAAACAAAAAAAGCCCCAAAAACGTTGGACTATCAAATTTTCATCATTGAATTTGTATTCTTATAACCTGTTAAATACAGCCTGCTACCTGCAAGGGTTGCAGTCAACTAACTAAATTCTTGGTTGTCAAAAGACACGCTGCCGACTGATTAGTTAACTAAACAGGGGACATGGCAAAAGCTCTCAAAACTATTACCTCTCTGTACATGACCCAACTGCACCCACAAGACCACATCTGCAAAACAACAATGTATGCAGAAAAAATACTAAGAAACAATGTATTTATATAAAGACAGACTAATTTTGTGAATCATGAATTTATCTGCCTTTTTACATATAAATACCAGCAAACTCACTCACTCACTAACTTCTCTTTTCTGTTACTGCTCCATATAACAAATTTTAATGCAAACAAAGTGATTAGCTGATTAATACAAAGTTTGATCGACTAAAACACCATCGACTCATAAATCAATGAAAAGACCACACCTCTACTACCTGCCCAGTAAAGAAGTAGAATTTTCTACGCAACAAAACTCCTTTATCCCATATTGCGATTATTTTTTTCTTATAAATATTGCAATATCCTTTGATTTTTGATGCAGAAATAGTTTTGGTATTGCTTCAAGGTTTGTCTACAATTTCCTTCTTACCATTCTATGTTTGTGTTCACCAATGAAACCAAATAGTGCGTGTTTAAAAGCTTCATAAACAGACTGTAAACATGGCCCCATTACTATAAAACCCGTTCACATTCGCTTTACTATCCCCTCCAGCGTTGCCTGGTAAAGTTGACGTCTCTCTGGGAAGTTTCCTTTACCAAAACGTCCCGAGTGTCAAGACTGTCGCCGCTCATTCACTTTCCAGCCCCGCAGTGCTCTGCCAGTGACCAATCCTACCAATATCCTGACAATCCAGTGCCAACAGCATCAAGGGGCTCCAAAAAATCCAATAAAAACGGCAAAACAAAAACATTTCAGCAGCAGTTTTCTAATCTGACAGAAGTAAACAGAGAAGCAGGGCTGTAGATGGGGGGGGGTTTCTTGCCCCAGTCCCTGAAATTTCTGTCAACGGGCCTGCAGAGAAGACATATTTCTAGGCCTGTCGTGATAATTGCTTTATTGACTAAGGCTGCGTTCAGACTGCAGGGCTTAACGCTCAATTCCGATTTTTTTGTGAAATCCGATGTTTTTGCGAAGTCGTTCACATTTCCAATTAAATGCGACTTGTATGGGATCCCCTGTATGAAAGTTAAATGGCCTGAAAGTGTCCCGCATGTGCACTGGAGGATAGGGCTGGGTATCGTTAAGAAGTTGCCGATACGATACATACCTCGATACATAGTCCACGATACGATACATATCTCGATACAGTGCACTTTCATTTCAAAATGATTCGATACGGTTCAATAAAAAAGGCTAAATCATGGCTGTGACACTAAAAGACTTTGTTAAACCACTTCTTGTGCAAAGTTAAAATGAAACACAAACATTTTAATCATAAAACAGTGAAAATGTCAAATCTGTCACATGAACGAGTTTCCTTCCACCAAACAAACAACAAAATTGTAGCTCTGTGACAAAATAATTGAGTAAAATACACCAAAAAATACTCTTGGTGATATATCGATACAGCAGCCCACGATATTCTGTATCATAAAGTTAAGCGATACGATATATCGATATTTTGATATCTTTGCACACCCCTACTGGAGGACACGATGACGTCAACTGCAGTGAGCGTGCTCTGTGTTTACGGAAGTTGTCCAAACATGGACGCAGCATTGAGCACCTGGAGATTTTAAAGTTCCTCTTGTACCGGAGCTACAACATGAACAACTGACTTGTTTTAAAGGAGATTGAGAAGGAGAAGGACGAGGTTTTTGGTCGTGGTGTTTTGTGGGACAGTGGCAGCGACGTCCGTTGAAAGGAAGGTGTGGATGTGGAGACGGAGCCAAGAGTGGTGAGTGGTGATGTGCTTCACTTCAGTGACACAGAGTTCATTAACAATTTTCACCTACTTCAGCGAAGAATAGTGACGTTTGTGGCTTGTTGATAACATGTAGGTGGATGAATGCACTTTGGCCGTTCACACTGAAGTCGCATGTCAAAAGATCAGATATGTATCAGTTTCAGGAGCACAGATCCAAGTGGCCTGGGTCACATTTGAAAAAAATCTGATCTGTGTCGTTCAGACTGACATTAAAAGATCAGATACAGGTCACATAGAGGCCAAAAAATCTGATTTGGGTCACTTCAGGCTGCAGTCTGAACGCAGCCTAAGTGTTCAATCCATGAAAACTGGAATAATATATTTTGGGACTCAATATGTGTGTAGATGTTATTCGTAAAAGTGGGGACATTATGGGTATTTTTGTTGTAATATAATAAGATTTGAACTGTAGAGTGTTGAATAACTAACACCTATGGCTAATTATCGGTTCTTTCAGCTATTTATTTGTTCCTATACATGTTTCAAACTGTTTTATTGTGACAGGTCAACACATTTCATATTTAAGTCTGGGTGAGTGTCAACAATTATCAACAGCAATAGCAATCAGTCATTTCTTGGAGCTTAAGAACAGAAGAAATCCCAGGGCTATCACTACTGTGTCTTTATTTTAGATGGGTGACAGAGAGGGACAGTGAACTCTCAGACATTCCAATGCAGTGATCTGATCTGTTCAAGCCTACATGAAGAAGTTAATCTGAAAATGAAGTGCAGTTCAGTTCAGAGTATATTCACAGTCATACGACCTGTATAATGGTAAAAGCAGGAGAAGAACAATACTTCAGCCAGCTGCTTAGTGCTATGAGAATTTCTGTTTTGACCTACCCCACATCCCTGCCTACTGCTCTGTACGTATTAAAAACAAAATAAAAGCACATGTAAATCTGCTGCTTGCAATGATTATGATGAGACAGGGCCAGCTGCAGAGAATCAGATCTTCAGTTTTGAATTGTAAGTCCATGGATCCACTTTGATTATAAAGTTGTAAATAAAAATCACAGTTTCCAATTAAAAAAAGGCAAAAATCATGATGTATATGTGTTTTGGCTTATGATTAAATACCAGAAATAACTATGCACGATGCACTATGCAACTTTTCAAGTAGAGGGTCCTAATTGTTCCCATGGAGATGTTATTGCTTTGCCTGAAATGTTCCACAGTATGATATAAAATGTGTCTATCTTAAATGCGTTGCCACAGATCTAACCTGTAACTTGGACTTGAAGGCTCACTTGCATTGTTTCTTTGGAAATGGATATGTTTCAAATCAAATCGAATCAAAAACATCTCCATGGAAACAAGCAGTTGCTTTTCTGCACCACAAAAAGTTACATAGTGCACCTTTAACACAAAGCAGTAACATTCTAATCAGCTGTTTGAACTTACGGAGCTCATCAAAGTGTGTCTCCATGCCGTCAGCCCCGGGGACAGAGCAGATGAGCCTGGCCTTCAGGAAGGTGCTCCACTTGTTCACCAGACAGCAGTGGCCTCCATCGTCATTCTGTACGAGAGGGCACAGAACCAAAACTATTCATTTAGTCTCTTGTATATATACATCGACCAGGTGGTTCCTCCTACACACAGCATAAAGCCCAATGTATGGTTTATAAAGTCAGGGAGATGTAAGGAGGAGATGAGATGAGTGATACACAATTCTCCATCTGTCACCAAGGACCAGGTAGTGAATAGTGAGTTAAATGTTTAGTTATAGTTACATAAGCTATTAGCAAATAAGCACTCCCTAGCATTGGAGGAAGTTTTTACTTACTCACTATTGGGTATGAAAACAAAAACCTTACAAATCCTTAAAAGCCTTACGTTGCAAAATAATTTTATGTACAATTTGCTGTTCCCCATCTACAGTGCAATTACATACAGCTGAGCAAATTGTGTTGGTGTGTGTGGAAAATGGCAATAAGAACATCCAGATGTGTAGCAGAATAACAATCACAAGACATTGTTTCTGGAGGTCCACCGTGAAGCACACTTCGAGGGGGCCAGTGTTTGTCATGGGGTCAGAAACATTTCCATGGAAAAATGCAGTTTTTACACCTCAAAACCATAAGTAGTATATTGACTAAACTTAGCTGAAGGCTTGGGTTAGAAGTTATGATGTGACTTTTTATGCTTGAAAGCTTCAAATATTTTTGTCTAGCATTGCGAAGAGGTTAGAAGATCATCAGGTCAGAGTTCAAAGGTCAAATCTCTGAGACAGAGGGATGCATTGTAGACAGGAAGGTTAAAGACACATGTGGATTCCAGCACGTCAGCGTTGGCCAAACACTATCTCTGCGCTCATAAACATTCAGATGCAGGCCTCGCTTGCCTGAGGACTGTTTTCATCCTGGAGCAGGGCCTTTCCCCTTTCTAATGTTTACAGCAAAAAACAAATAGACAGTCCACTGTGTACACACCAGGCAGATGCGACCAATCCGCGACTGGGTCACCGGACTCTGGCCCATCTCCGCAGACTTCTCTCGGAAGAAAAAATACAGCTTGTCGTCATTCCTTTCGGCGCTGTCAGGGATGAGGTGCACATGAACAAATGTGGGATCTGTGAAGGGGAAGTAAAAACACTTAAAATGTCTTGTTTGGGTTACAATGAACATGCATGGCTTATCTTGTTATGAATATGTGGGAAAAAGACAATATGGTCAATGAATATTGAAAGAAGGTACTCTTGTGTACTCTTGTGTACATTTTTACACCCTACTAAAATTTATATTTTAGATAGGTACAGAATAAATACCCTATAGGATATTTGTGGGTTCCAGCTACCTGTTATATGCAACATTTTGAGTGCTTTTTCCCATTCAAAAGAAATAATTATTCCTTATTTGTTAATCACTATGGCAATGGTCTTAGTTTTTCATCATTCTGGATAGGCTTTAATATAAGAAAACCTTCATTTGTCCCACAATGGGGAAATACTAGTTCATCATTTACAAAGTACTAGATGTGCCAATAAAGTTTATAATATCTTCTGAAATTATAGTAGAAGTAAATTACTTGTTATAGTTATAGTAGTAATAATTTTAAGAACTGCAGTATTAAGATAAAGACAGTAACAGCAGGTAGCAATGATTGTGATAATAGTAGAAGTAAGCAAAAATAATGACAATGTATCATATTGCTCACATTTTGCTGAAAATAGACTATTCAAGGACTGTCAGTGTCACTTTTACCGTTAAGCCATCTGGAGTTGTACTGATCTGTCCTCATGGCCGTCTTGGTCCCCAGAGTGCGGAAAATGGCCGAGTCTGTTCCCATAAAGTCAACATAGACTCCCGCGTAGAGTTCCCCATCTGAGGAGGAGAGAAAACACTTGAGCTACATTCCTCCATTCTGACATTATTCCAGCACCGCCCTTGGCACAAGACAGTCCAACTTTTGTTTCATATACTCAATGTACATCTGCAGTCTCCACACTGCAAGATGGCAAAGTCATCACCAGTTGTTATTTCCAGGTCACAATGTCAAATTTGTGTCCAAAACTGTCCAAAATGGGCAATTAAGGAAAAGGTAGGCCTGTCATTTAGACTTATCATTCAATATATGAGAGATGGAACATTTTCCATCAATATGGGGGGGTCAATATTTATCGTGTCCACAGTTTCTTTGCACCACTGGGAATTATTATTATAACTTTTTTGTTATTTTTTGGCTATATGATAAGATTTAAGCCATAAAATGTGGAATTAATAACTTCTATGACGCAAACTAAATACTAAAGTATTTCATTCTGTTGTTTATTTATTGCAGCTCATGATTTTTTTAAAGAATATTGTAGATTTAGTTTTGGGGTATAAATCTGCTTTAGAGCTTTTGTGTCAGTGGCATAATTTAGTTTCAGTATTATCATTTATATTTTCTTCATACTTATTTATTGGGACTTTTTTTGCAATCAGCCAATTTAAAAAAGACTCAGATTCAAATAGGGGCATCCTGGTACCTTTACATGGTTCACACCCTGAGCTGAAATATCTACTGTAGTGACAAACCTCTACTTTACACATTACACTACTACTAATATATTTCTTATTTTTGCTGTCCTCTGTCCATTTGCTCAAGGTCACCCCCTCAGTCCCACTTTTCTCACAGTTGCCACCCTGTAAGACGATCTCTCTGTGCTATGGGAGTAAATCAGCCTCTGCTTTCCCCACATTAACACTGTGACAGCCCGAGATGAATCTACACCACCCTGCTCCACCAGTTAGCATCACACAAGGGACACTGTTGTTACTGTAGATAAAGATTAAGAATCCTGACAATAGATAGCATACTGACCATGGGCTAGCACATTACATCGACTTCCATCCACACATGCTTTAACGACGCGCCATCAATCTCCCCTGACGACCATGACATTGAGGAGAATGGTTTGAGGACAGTTTTTCAGACTATTTCTCAGCTATGACAGTCCCACCTGCTCAAAGCTCCCTGGCAGCAGCTGGATACCAACACCTTGCCTTCCTGTGGCTTAACAAAGCAGCCACATACACAAGTCCCATTATTTATGCCTTTATGGAGCACTGGTAGAGGATGTTTGCAAATTTGGGGCAGCAAAACATTGTATAATATGGGCCGCCTGCAGTTTCCTAATAACTTCCTGGGAAGATTTATGTGCGCCGATATTGTTTTAACGGACTGAGAAACAGTGCTGTATAGGCTATTAAAGTTGGTCATTTTTTACAAAGAAACAAGTTTATAGACTCTTACAACCTTTCTAAATGGTTGAAGAATGTGCATAGCCGTTGACTGGGAGCCAATTAAAACACCATGATTTGGCTGATTTAACACGCAGCTAAAAAAGGCACAATTTATGAAATGCTTGCTCTAAAACTGCCCTCATTACTTTGGCACATGCCCACTGAGAACTGGACAGCACACAACACAACAGTGGCCACTGACAGGTGAGAAAAATAATGCAGCATCTCCACTTTATGGCATCTTTTAGTTGCAGTAGTAGTGTCGCTCCTTAATGTTTATGTGTTTGAAGCCTAGGGTAAATGACTAATATCAACAAGGTGTCTCATTTAGAAGGGTAGACAACTGTGTAAAAGAAATATTTTGTTTTGAATTGGTAACTGCTATGGCAAAATCCCAATGCTTTATCATTTTATCAATTATTTTATCACTTATTTTTATTAACATTAAAAAGTAAAATTGTGTGGGAACTGGCAAGGACGCTTGAGTTTGACCTGAGGGAACACTGAGAAAAGTTCATATGAAATCATTTTTTAACAATATGACCAATTACACACTTAATATTATTGAGCAACAGCAAACACAAATGTTTTTTTTTTTATATCTTGAGAGGTTAAGCAGACTATTCTCATACTATTCTTATACTCACTGATCAGGGCGGACACACTGTTGAGTTTTGGATCGTATGAACACTTTCCCTTCCCCGATTCCACTCTGCCTGGCTCCAAGTGGAAGATCTCCTCCTGAAATAGGAAAATCAGAGCGAGATAGCAATAAATTCAGTGGTCTTTATCTTGTCACAGTGATTCCCATGTGTAGTTAGAGCAGAGCAGCTCTCTAACCCTGTGGGAGCTCCGTGGCCTGATGGGAAAAAAGTATTTGAATAATGAGCGAGTGTTCATACAGAAAAATACATGCAGAGAAAAGGAGGAATATCTAATCTATGCGATGGTTCTCTGCTGTGACAGTGTGTCATAATACGCTGCATGCCACATTTCCAGGCTTCCAGTGCTGTGGTTGCTGGGACCACTGCTGACAATGTAATCTGGTACAGTGCAGCGGAGTGACTAGAGCTCAGGGCTCATGGCATAGCTGCATGCACAACAGCTGGGATTCAGGGAACTCGTATTGGAGAAAGCATTTGTCAAGGGGGTGAATTAGTGCTCACGTCCTCTGGCCCACCTCACCGAGTACAACAAAGGACCAACCCCCCGTGAACTTCTCCTGAACAGAAATGGAGGCATCTCTGTGACTGTCAGTCAGTTGTGGATCAGGGAAGAGCGGATGATCCATATACTGTGCAATCCAATTGTAATAAATACCTTGTAAAGAGATTGAAGTTTATAGTGATGTGCTGTGATGTTTTTCAGGTGACATAAAAAAGGTTTTACATGGTGGGCCACTATTTTACAAATGTGAATGTGTTTGGAATAATATCTTAATATAATACTATCATAATTATTTTAATGAGAGAAATTTCCATTTTTTTCAAATAATCATCTACACATGAAAGCAAAAATTAAATGCACAAAAATGACATGAAACAGACACAAATGAACAAAGAAGTCAAGAAACAAGACAATGTGACAGTAATTAACATGATCAAATGGACATGCTTGGGAATATGGAGTGAGTTAGCATGCTGCTGGTGAGTACGAGCGCGGTTTGAAAGCAGGGCGAGGCCCCCACGTCGCACCTTTATTCCCAGAGTCTCGTGCACCGCGCTGGGCTCTGCTGCGCGGCTAGCCCTCCCCCGGGCCTGGGCCATCTGCAGATACATCGAGCTCTATAACAGGACACATCAACACCAGTTACCAGTTTCCCCACCAGTGAGAAGGGCGCACCAACTGAAATCTGTGTGAACAACCTCAACAGATACGGCACCGGAAGAAATGTGACAATGTTGCAGTGACAAAGAGATCATTGTTTCTCATCTCAAAGCTCAATCAAACAATTAAAATTTAAATTAAAAACATTATACATATATAAAAAGTACTCTCTTGATGTGTACGTACATTGTTTCCTTAAGTCTGGAACATTCTGTTAGCAGCTAATAAGTTTCCCCACTCTCCAACCCATGATGTAGGCTGGTGTAGGACCGGTGAGCAAATACAGAATACAATAATACCAAAGCCCAGGAGCACAAAAGGTAAACTCAACACTGCTGCTGTGATGGAGCAGAATGTGCACTTTTTTTATTCTCAACTCCCCTGGTCAGGATTAAAGGAGAAGTGGGATATTTAAGTCAGAGTGAGGTGTTTAGAGGGAGTATCAAGAAGCAGTAATGCAGTAATGGCTGACCCTGTTTAAGTAATCCAAGTGCTCCTGGTAAAGTGCTATGAGACTAAACAGAGTATGGCCTTAAATGCTCACTGGGGACAACAGCTGTGTGGTGGTCAGGCTCTGCTCTGCCAAACCTGGAGATGTGGAGTTGAGAGCTGCACTAATGATGGAGCAAAAGTCTTGTAAAGTCAATCTGATGTAAGGTGAAATACAAAAGTACCAAGAGAATAGACCACTTTTTATGTGTCTTAAAACTTATTGATTATACACCCTGTTATACATTTTAATTACCAAATCCAGAGTGATATCTATATTTTATACAGAGGGATATCAGAATGGTCTCCACGCCGTTTGTTGCATCTCACGCCAGAACCAAGCATGTGTAATCTTTTTTTTCTTTTTTAATGAGGCATGGAAAGTGAAGGAGCTCAATGTTCATCTGCCACTTACAAATAAAATCAAATTTCTCACCTCAGATTAAGTTTAATGCTTCAGTCATTGACATGTTTTTTTTTTTCTTTTTTCCTTGCAACCATATTTGTTTTGATACCGTTGCACTATACAGCCTCAGAAATTGGAATCTAGCTTTGTATCTTAATAGATCTAGTATAGTTTAACTTGTTATGTGACTGTTTAATCTCAATCCCAAAATATTTAATTACAATTTCGACATATTTCTCCATACTGTGCTCACCTGTGGTTTGCGTCCGCGGTTGACAAAAGTACACACAGGGTTGTACGCTCCTGTCCCGCACACGTACAGCTGTGTCCTGTTCCATGGCTCGATCAGACGGATGAAGTTTGCACACTCATCCTGTTCCCAAATAAAGACGTAATTCACTAAACTGTCCATTATATTCACACTTCACTTGTAAAATGGCACTTTTACAGTAAAACAGTTTTTAATGCAGATTATTACATTAATGCTGTCACTAGACCATATCATTTCCGTCTTCTTGGCCAGACAGTGGGGAAATAGGCTTTTTATAGTGCCAATTGTACAGGTAAAGACTATTTAATGACACTTTCACATTAGCACAATCTATTTGCAGCAGTTTAAAACATGCTAGCGCCATTCTATTTCATGACATGACATTGACTTTATGTTAAATCATGTCTGATAAACAGCTCTACCGAGGTTTGAGCAGTTACTTACGTTGGCTTCCTTCCCACTCACAAGGCACTCCATCCTTCTGCGTTCAGACACTGGCCAGTGGATCTGTAAATGCAGAAATGAGGTGGTTATTCAGCCTAACCTGTCACACATCGCTGATATTTATTGGATACCAAGGCTACAGTTGCAATAGGGATATCCAGCCAGACCAATATTAGTCCTAGAGGGATTGTCATAACTTAATTATGGTTTTAACAAGGTGATGTGAGAAAAAGAGAGTTCCAACAAAAACTCAAATTGAGTTTGCTTAAAAAAAAAAGGTGGCTGGTGTAAGAGTATGCAATTCAATATTTGACACAGGGGAAATCTTTGTATTTTAAGGTACATATTGTAAGTGAAACTATGTTAGTGTGAGATACTAACGTAATAAGGTATTGTGTTTATACTATATAACAATTTGATCAAAGGTTTGTAAAACTTTGCAACTACAGTACATCTAACAAACCATAAAATAACAACCATAAATGGTCAGAAAAAAACATATTTAATTTAGTATTATTTAGTAAGCATATAGGCTTTTTAGGAATTTTGTATTAACTTCATGTCAACTAATGATGTAGGCCTTTAGTCAATTATGTCTTAATCAACCAGAAGTTGTATTAGTATTTATTAGTTTGTTGTGAATAAATAGTAGTCGTAGTCTTTTGACTGCAGTTTGGGTGGAGATACTTCATAGTTTTGAGAGTTTGCCAAGCCTCCTTTTTAATAAACTAATTGATCATGAATTCTTCTAGTCGACTACAACCCTAAAAAAGAAGACTGAGGACTAAAAGTGTGTGAGTTTGTCCATGATTTCTTATTGTCAAGACATAGCAATATTTGCATACAGCCAGGTAACAAGAATTTATAGCACTGAGGATTTGAGTGACTAATCTATACACTGTGGGACAAATAAGACAGTGTCCATATTTTTCACGAGGAACCAGAACCAGGAAGTACGAGCACATGTGTCCTGTGCTCAGGTCTCTGCATTGGCTTCCTGTGGCTCAGAGAATAGACTTTAAAGAAGCTCTGCTTGTGTACAACTCTCTCCATGTGTACATACATCATGCATACATCTCTGACTATATGAACCACCTCGCACTCAACGGACCTCAGAGACTGGCCTCCTGCTGGTGCCCAGAGGCAGGACTAAATATGGGGAATCAATGTTTCAGTTTTAAGCAGCTAAAATCTGAAACAGTCTTCCTGAAGATGAGAGACAGGCCTCTTCAAAACTTTGTTCTGTTTAGCTGTGCATGAATGAAAGGTTTTTCTGCACTCTTTTCTTTTAATGTTAATTTTATGATTATTTATATATTTAATTGTCTGTATTGTCATTTTAATGTATTTCTTAATCTATAAAGGATTTTAATAAATTTGTATACAAATTGTGCTATACAAATACATTTGCCTTGCCTTGATCCAACACGACAGACAGTACATAAATCATCAGCTCAAGTGATACACAACTTACAATATGAGGCTCCCTGTTGATGTCATGGAGATCTAGAGACAGGATGTGGTCCTTGCTACCGACATACATGCGGTCATGGTCCTCATCCATCCTCAGTATGCGGTAGTCAGTGGTGTTGAGGAGGAAAGCAAAGTGATGGGCAGTGCCGGTGGACCTCAGCTCTGCACAGACACACACACAGACAGACAGGATACACAAGTGTTAATGACATTGACAGTATATACACTCTGCAGACATTCCCCAAGCTACAGCCACTCTTATTATCTGATGGTTTTCCACTAACACGGCTGAAACTCGACCCTGCACATCCCAGACAAGTGCGACTGAGTGTCCGTCATATAGTGCTGACGACTTAATACCTCCTCAGAGACACGAGAGCTCTGAGCATGCAACAATAGACCTCTTTGATGGCCAGGCAGAGACAAATGGCTTCACAATTTCAGTATTGCTGGTTATGTTTGTTCATGTGCAATGGACTTTCATCTCTTGCTTATTCTGTGTAGGGTGCCTTGTCTGTAGAAAGAGGGTATTAGGGCTGAAAGATTTGGGAAAAATATCAAACTGCAATTTTTCAAACCAAGTTTGAGATTGTTATTAGATTGGCAAATAATGATAGGATTCTCTTGACAGAATTGACAAAACTGAAATATGGCAAATAAGAATAACTTTTTAGAACATGTTTGTACAAATGTAAACTTTTTTTTAATACATATTTTGTTATTAGTGGAGGAAAGTATATTCCTCTAGTCAGCGTCAGAGGTGAAACTGTTCTGCCTGTGCCAACTAACAACCACCAACAACAACTATAGAGCACACTCCACTGACAAACCTGCCAACAAAACAGTTGTTTGGAAAGATTAATTGGTTTAGGCATGTACCGATCAATATAATTTATTTCCTTTAATCACAAACAGCATATGGTAAAAATGATCCAAATATGTTTTGTAACAGTTATCATTCATATAATTTATTAGTAACAGAACAGCTTTGTACAAACAAAAGTTTAATATTATGACATGTTTTGGGCCAACACTGGGGAGTAAATCATCTTATTACACCAATTTATACACCAAAATGGGACATTGGCTGAACTGATAACTTGGAAGCTGATATCCAGTTCACTAAAACTCACAATACCGGTGTATCCCTAAATGGGTTGATTTAAGAATAGAACCAAAAACCAAGATTCTGACAACAATAATCACTCTATGGTCTTGTCTACACATTAATACAACAGCTGCTGCAGACTTTTGCACGAATACATTTTGTTGTAAGTTAGATGGACCAAAATAGACAAGCACAGACCAATAAAGCCATATCTTCACACAATACTGAAACATTATTATTATAACTGCAGAGCTATCTCTCATACATCCCTTACGTCTTTCACAGTAGATCACCGTAGCCATTAGAAGGTCATTGGAGTGTGCACCTTTCCGAACACAAAGCTCTGGGCACGTCCCCTCATGTCGACAGTAACCCAATCTCCCTGCAGCGCTGCGTTGGAGTGTTTGTTTGATATGTTCACTCGGGTTCAACAGTTGCGTACAGGCCGAGGGCAGAGAGGCCACCACAGAGACAGCACAGGGCCCCATGCCACACCATAGACAAACACACTCCTGCACTATCTGTGGGGAGAGGCAGTGGAGGGTGGCAGTCGGCTGTTATTGGACAAACAGTGAGGTCTCAGCCAAACTCCAGGACCACTTCTCATCGTTTGGGATTAGAAGTAAACTTTGAGACAAGCCAAAGTTTATATGTGTTGATTTAACAAACTCCTGGCTGGTAAAGGTAATCCAACTGTAAAACTGTAAAATGCAGGTAGCAGTGCTTGGCTAGTCACTTTTTTATATAAATAAAAGAAATGTAGCATGACAAGCACTGGGCATACATGAAATGTAATGGTTTGTAATTACCTAAACAGTGAAAAAATGGCTGTGGCTGATTATAATCTGATTTCTGGACCATTAAAATTCTGAAGTATCATGCAAACCACACAGTCTGATGTGAGTAATCAGATCAGAGGGTCCATGATTAGAAAGATATAAGATAGATGATTTAGCTGTTCATTTTAATAATCATATAACTCTTAAAGAAATCTGATAATCTGATTTTGAATGTGCTTGTAACCACAGCCACTGTTATGTGTTGAAACTAAGATTTTCAAATGACAAATGATTAATGAACTTTTCTAATCTCAACATCTAATCTTGCCAGACGTATGGAACCTATGTGTGTATTATGTGTGTGTTGTTTTTTTTTTTTATTACTACGACTTGTCTCTCCCAAACATTCCAGAGGGGCTTTTGAGGAAGAAGTCCGGAGACCAAAACATGTATAGCCACAATCATGTCCGCCTTTGGGTCTTAAAATAAACATCTTCTCCAGACCTTTTTAAACACTCACCCTATGGAATCTGATACTGCCCTTCCTTTCAGCCACAGCTAAATTTAACATAGAGGTTACATCAATAAGCATGCATTAATAGCATTAGATACGCTATATTTATCCAATTTTATTTAATAACGCTGTGGAGGCTCTGTGACGGACAGCTGTCAGATGGCCACACTGGTGGACTGCAGCATGTGGTCAGTCCATGTGATTATTTGTATTAGAAACTCCAGTTGAATGATGAGCCCCAATACACTGCTTTGTGGAAGGAGCCACAAAGGGAGACTATGTGACGTGGACACACAGCCAAGGCAAAGACTCCTCCAGCAAACTGTCAGTGACTCCTAAACGTGTTTGTTGTTGTAGTGTATCTGGATGGGCCCATCTGTCAAAGCTGGAATAGGGAATGTGCACAACATAGCAACAACACACCCAATGAAAATCTGCACAGTCAGGAGTACCCATGCACAACTTAAAAGACATTCCTACACAGGCCTGTCACGATAATTACTATAGAGACTTATCATGTGTTGGGAAGGTGACTTTTAAAATGTATTCCCCTACAGATTACAGATTACATCCCCCAAATGTAGTTTGTAACATAATCCATTAAATTACTTAAAGTGAGTAATGTAATCTGAATACTTTGGATTACTTGATTTGCTGTAGAGAAGCAAAGACGAGGATATTGTAATATAAGATGTTTTGTCTGATAAAAGAAAATAAAAAGCCCAGACTTTACTGAACTAAATTAAAAATATTATTGATAAAAGACGAGGAGACACGGACCGGGCAGCATGATTTAGTCCTGTTAAATCCTGTTAAATCCTGTTTTAGTCTTGGATTTAATCCTGGTTTAATCCTGGTTTAGTTCTGGTTTAGTATTGGTTTACATCTGGTTTAGTCCTGGTTTAGATTTGGTTTTAGCTCTGGTTTTAGACCTGGTTTAGTCCTGGTTTAGACCTGGTTTACATCTGGTTTAGTCCTGGTTTAGATCTGGTTTTAGACCTGGTTTAGTGTCCGGCAATGAGTGAAAGTACAGAGAAAAAAAAAAAAAAAAAAAAAAAAAAGGGGATATAGCCCAAAATGTAAAAACAGGAAAATACCACAGTGTAATCCATTTATTTCAACCAAGTAACTGTAATCCAATTACCACTCACTGAAACAGTAACTGTAACTGAATACAGTTATTCATAATTTGTACTCTGATTACATAACTCTGGTACATGTAATCTGTTACTCCCCAACACTGACTATCATTCAACACATGATAAATGGAACAATATTTTTGGGGGGCAATATTTATCATATGGATATTTTCTTTGCATTACTGGGAAATTTGTGGTCATTGTTTGTCTACATGATGAGTTTTAAACTGTAAAAGGTTGATTTAATCATTTCTATGACTCATTACAGATGCAGATTAAGTACCAAAGTGTTTTTATTGCAGCTCATGTTTTTTTTAAACTATAAAAAATAGTTATAATCTTTATCTTATGGTATAAATCTGCTCTTGCGTTTTTTGCGTCAGTGGCATACTTTAGTTTCAATATTGTCATTTATCATCTTCAACAATCATCAAACTTCAAAATTTTGTTATCGTGACAGGGCTATTCCTACTAATACTAATATACTTGAGTAGTACAACTTGGTCTTGTAGTTTTGAAGATCTCAGTGTAAGTCAGTATATGTCTCCAGTTAACAGTTAGATCAAAAGTACTACTATTGTAAACAAATGCAAGTTCAGGCGCAAGGATTCAACAGAGCATTTATGAAGAAATCTAATCCCTGATATCCTTCGTTAAGAACATGAATTAAATAAAGCCCAGTTTACATAACCCAAACCTTACAGACAGACAATGGGGGATTTGGGGATTCTACACACCAAACAAGACAGAACCAAGTACACACAATTACATTTATATTTGAGACTTAAAACATTAACTACCGTAACAAGTTCAAGCAAGGGCGCTATAATCAGGCAGATATAGCAGTGATTTACAGTGTTGGGGAGTAACAGATTACATGTACCGGAGTTATGTAATCAGAGTACAAATTATGAGTAACTGTTTTCAGTTACAGTTACTGTTTCAGTGAGTGGTAATTGGATTACAGTTACTTGGTTGAAATAAATGAAAATGTTTTCACATTTTGGGCTATATCCCCCCCAGGTCTAAACCACCTGGTTTAGACCAGGTCCAAACCAGGTCTAAAACCAGATCTAAACCAAGACTAAACCAGATCAAACCAGGACTAAAACCAGGACTAAAACCAGGTCTAAACTATGTCTCAAACAGGATTTAACAGGACTAAATCATGCTGTGTGGACCATGTCTCCTCCTCTTCTATCAATAATATTTTTAATTTCATTAAGTAAAGACCAGGCTTTTTATTGTCTTTTATCAGACAAAACATCGTACATTATGATTTCCTCATCTTTGCTTCTCTACAGTAAATCAAGTAATCCAAAGTATTCAGATTACATTACTCACTTTAAGTAATTTAATGGATAACGTTACAAACTACATTTTGGGGTATGTAATCTGTAATCTGTAGGGGAATACATTTTAAAAGTCACCTTCCCAACACTGGTGATATGATACTCATAGATCCATGTGGCTATTGGTTGGGCAGACTAACATCCACTTTATCTTGAAATATAATATGTGACTTTTAATACCGCTCTGAATAATTGCCCTAAAAAATGTACTTTCGGCATCTAAACTAAACTTGTCCCCATGTTTGTGATTTTCCTCTGGGTGCATTGGTT